GAGAGAGAGAGAGAGAGAGAGAGAGAGAGAAAGAGGAGAAGAATAAAAACGGAAAAGAAAGCGGGAAAGAAGAGAAGATAAAAAAAAAGGAAAAAAAAAGATTCGCCATTTCCTTTCGCCCATTTTTCCTTACCATTGTGTAACAGGCGTAGTCAGCAGGACGGATAAACATGTCGCGGGGGATGAGGACGAGGAGAAAGGGGAGAGAGAAAGTGTGGAGAACGGCGAGTCAGATCGCGCGGTGGGACAACGTAACCGGCGATTTGCCAGCCGAGGGGTTGAAGAACACGGTGGCGGTGGAAAGTGGCGCGGAAGGAGAGATTCGCGGCGGCATACCCTCGTCCCAATTTCGCCGTGATATATGTTAAAATATTCCGCACCGCTTCCCTTATTCTCCTCCCCCTCCTCCTCTTCCACCTCCACCACTCCTCTCGCCCCTCCGCCTCGCTCCCAAAACTTTTGTCCCTGCTTCTCCTCTCCCTTCGAGCCCCCCACCTCCACCTGCCGCAGCAGCAGCACCAGCACCAGCAGGAGGAGGATGGTAAGCGCAGGAGGGAACGACGAGAGGGACAGAGCCAAGTTTTCCCTCTAACGCGGGTACTATGGCCGTTTAGGCCAAATTTAACGGCTCGCCGGGACCGTGAAAGAATCCTGCCAACTTCCACTCTCTCCCCACCCTACCCCCTCGACAACTCGGACCATCTCCCCTCGCGAAAATCCACCAACTCTCCTCCCTCCTCCCTCCTCTGCCGGAGGGAGGCGAGGAAAAGAAAGAGAGGAGAGAAAGAAGAATGGAAAGGCCGCGCGCTTTCCCCGCAACACTACCACCAATCGTTCGATCACAACGAATCCAACGTTCCCGTGTACTTTGCACGGAGTTAATGGAAGCGTAAACGAGCGATAAGAAGGCGAGGTGAACCGGGGACGAGGCAAGGGGGAGGAGAAGAAGAAGAAAAAGGAGGAGGAAAAGGAAGAGAAGAAGGAAGGAATTCGATACCGACCACGCGAAGGACGACACGAGACTGCGAGACAAGCTTCGGCCAACCGTCACCACGCCGATTGACCGAGGCGGGGTGGTAGTGGGGGGTGGTTACGAGCCAATAGCGGGACACGACCAACTCCGCCAACGTACCGAGACGCATCGTCTAGATCCATCCTCTCGATATCGACGATTCTTTCCCTCGTTTCGCGGCAACGCGAATTTCACTCGTAATTGTAACGTATCGGTTAATAACAATTCGAATACTAAGTTTTTTCGAACGAGGATATTTCGATATATATATAAATCTTTTTTTCTACTTCTTATTCTCGTTATTCGATAAAAACGAAACGTCAGGAGGAGGAGGAAAAGATCGAAAAATTACGACGCGGAATCCAAGTTCTAAGAACAAAAGATCTTCGAGAGCGTTCAGAACCGCATCCGTATATCTCGCGGGGGAGGAACGGGGGCATATAATTGTACGCGATAAAAGCATCGGGTTTATCGGTGGCAGCAGTCGATAACGGGCGTACAAATACGAACACCCACCTAGGGTGGGGGCATGGATGGAGAGAGAGAGAGAGAGAGAGAGAGAGATAAAGAGAAAAAGAAAAAAAGACCGCTGCTAATCGCGCGATAAACGCTCTCGGCCTCTGGACCTATTAATTTAAATGAATTGCTTTGACATCGGTGGCTTCCTCGTGCATAGGCGCGTTGCATCCGACATTCGCAACTTTGTTTTCCAATTCTGCGTGCCGGGATTTATTATAATAATCGTAAAAAAAAAAAAAAAAAAAAAAAAGGAAAAAAAAATAAAATCTCTCATAATCTCTCATAATATCTCTTCTCGTCCATCCCGAAGGGATCAAGGAGGCGACGATCGAGGAAGGATTCGCTCGAAATCGAGATCGTAGCGAAAGAGAAGACACCGCGTGGCCAATAATTCACGTTTTATTTCTGAGCCGATAGGACGGTGGATACGCAATAATAAAAATGTCCGGGAAGCCGGATCAGAAATCTTAATATGTCCACGGTGGCGCGAGAGTCAGCGATTTCCACCAGCCAATATAAATGTCCTACATTGATTTAGTTCTCTTGTTCTCCCGAGGTTGCGGCCGGAATGGAAAAGAAGAGGAGGGGGAAAGGACGGATGGAAACGTCTCCGTCAGGGAAATTAGCTCGTGGCCAAACGTGGTTGACAAAGAAGGGTGTTACGCGCGTCGACACCGCGTCTTCGAGGAAAATTGACCACGTGATGCCCGTCTCACGTTCTCGCAACGGCTGTTTCGTCGCCTCGATGAATAATTTCCCTCCTCTATCCCGGATCTATCTGTCTATCGTTACGTCATCGATTTTAATTTAAAGGAAGGATCCGGGAAGATCCGGGTTGCATTTTTCGCCGAAACCGGCCGTTAGTTAAGCAAATAAAGTTTTTCGAGAAATTTCGAAACGACGGTTGGATCGATCGAGCTTCGATTCTCCTTCTCCTTCTTCTTCCCCGTTACACGTGGGCGGAAATGAGTTTAAAAGCGGAAAGAAGAAGACGAGCTGAGTCGTGTAACCAGCAACTCGTCGATTACACCCTTATTAATCGCCGAGACACACGAGTGTTCCTTAGAATGGGGAGGGGCCGAAACCAGGTGTCCCCTTCCTCGCCTTCCCTCGTGAGAATTTATTCCTTTATTTACCCCAGCGCGCTCTCTACCTGCATGCGATCGCTGCTACCGATAAAACTATTCCCGCGATCCAAGATCCGGGAATACGGCACGAAACGCCGCCAATTTCCTTTATCCTCCCTTCCGATTTTTTTAAAAAGACCGTCCGAGAGAAAGTTGGAAAGTTTCGTCTCCATTAAACTGCCTTTCCTTTAATCGCGATTCACGATGCACGATAAGCGCGATAACGCTATCTGTTTATCGGTTTAATTAAATTTCAACGGAAAAGCACCTGGAATGCGTCCGTGGAATTATTTATCCGTCAATTTTCTTTCATCCCTTCATATTGACTCTTCGAGATTAATGCGATTTGTAAAAAAAAAGGAGGTGTTGAACGGTGTTTAACACTGACGACCGACGTGTCATAAAACTGTGTCGGATAATTTCTAACGAGGCTTCTCCTTAAACGCGCATTCCCCTCTACGAAACGTACTGTTGATACGAATCGCGGACGACACGTATCATCGTCCATAAAAAGGAACGAGGAAAATCCCCTCCCCTCCCCCCTCTTTCGGAAACGGAAGCGCGAAAAGCGGATAAAGATGTTCTACGTACGAGGTAGTTGTATGTAGTGAAGGGGAGGGAGAGAGAATAAAAATTTTACGCGACAAAAGAATGTGGGAAGGATGGGAACGTTTCGTCGGGTAATTCTCGTATTTTCTTTTTCGGAATTTACGTTTTCTTCGACTCGTGTAGAACAAGGTCCCGATGGGTTCCCATGGCGGGAAGGGAACGGCCGGCCATAAAGGAAATACCCGTAGATGGAATAGGCATGTTCTGACACAGGACGACTTCCGGTTCTGCCATTTCGAACATCCGCGACCGATAGAAATTGAGACAACCTGTCTTCTCCCTCTGTCTCTCTCTCTCTCTCTCTCTCTCTTTCTTCTTCGTCAACCACGTGTTCCGTCAACTTTTTTTCTTCTCTTTCTTTTCTTTTCTTTTTTTGCATAATTTCGAAGGGAGAATTAACGACACGAGATGACGATGAAAAGAAAAGGGGGGGATGGATGGGATTGGCGACCGAGCATATCGAACTTTACACTCAACGAAACGAAACGAAAGCTATTCGGTATCTGGCGCGCGTTCCGCGGCTCTGATTTCGCGGAATCGCTTTTATCGTATCGTAGAAAGAGGCTAAGCGGTGGTGGTGAGAAGCGTGGTGGGGGGGGGAAGGGAGGGAGGGGGTCAGGTTTTGCAAAACACGCGATACAATGCCATCTAATATTTGAGATTTCATTAGTGGACGTTATTCTATCCGACATCCGATAGGTTGTTGTGCTGACGCTGAAAGAAAAACTTTACAAATCGCTCTTGTTTTACGTCTTACGAATATCGGGTGTCTCTTCGACTCGCCACAAGAAGAAGAAGAAGAAGAAGAAGAAGAAGAAGAAGAAACACTTTTTTCTCGCGAGAGAAAAATCCTTCCTTCCCTCTCCCTCCTTCGACTCGATTAAAAACCTCGGTTTCAAACTTTCAAAATTTCCCTCCTTGAACAAAGAAGCCGTCGACAAAGATACGTACGGTAAACGCGAGAGAAAAGGGGAGAACAAAGAGAGAGAGAGAGAGATAGGAAGAGGAGAAAATTGATCGCGACGAGTAAGTAATCTTGGCAGATAGAGAAGGATCGAAATCCTTCCCGTTTTAATTGGCACCCACTAATTGGTAATTATCAGGCGTACCCACTCGTGGAAACGGCTGACGTAAGAGGCTTAAGGCCGTTTACACGGGATGGAGGATCCGGTGGCAACGGTACCAATACAAGCNGGCGGGTAAGGTGTACGCGCGGTTTACAACGTTCCAACACACAGCGCGCAGGTGTGCATATGTAATTCCGAATGGGTGCCTCGGCTAGCAGCGCAGCACGTGAAAAGAGGGCTGAGGGAGAGACGATCCACCGCGCGTCTCTACATTATTTATTACGCGTATCGTCGTCCTCGCGTATATAGTTAGAGCCAAGACAAACGGCCGCATAATCAACAATTAGTCGGTTGATACGGGCTACGTGGATCGGTTTTTAAGCCGAGGGCAGCTCGATTAATAAAATAATATCCCTCGCTCTTCGACTCGCCCTTGGAAGAATGGAATAGAATGGAATAGAATAGAGAGAGATATAGAGATAGAAAGAGAGAATTGTTTCCAAACACGGACACGGTTGCAAATTCGGTTCCACGAATCTTCGTTCACGAATTCCATTCGGAGGGGGAAAGGGGAGGATGGATTTTTGTTTCCAACAACCGCCGCTTTATCTCGAGCCCAAGTTACACACAGGTATCGCGCGCTACACGATCGCTTAGAACCGGTAGATTATACTTAAACCCAGGTTATACAGTGTCTGGATGGTGTCTCCAGGGCGTTACGGAGTTACGAGTTACGAGGTTACACACAGCACTGGCACCGAATCCGATTGTCCCCTGCTACCAGATCGTACGAAGGTGTGTTACATCTGGTGCGTGGCCATCGTCGAAATTGCACGAGATATGGATTCTCTGGTTGCGTCTAGGTTAGGAATGAAATGGACAGGCCGCTGCGCGGCGGAATTCGTACGCTATCGCCGATACCCGACGATGGATCTAGGTTACAATGAGCTTAACTCACAGCTAGCCCAAGCCTGGCCCAAGTTTCGTTCGGATGCTAAATCAGTCCTCGCTTGGCACGAAAATACTTGTTCACCGCGCAATTCGGTCTTCCGCCCGAATCAATTTTCCCGCGAAAATCTCGCCGACAAAGTTAAACTGTCCAATAATAAAAGAAAATATATATATATATATATATATGAAGTATCATTCGAGTATATCTCTTTTCCTTCTCTCTCGATCGATTCACTCGATCAGAATGCGATTCAAACCCATGTAAAGTCACAGTGTCTCTCCCTTCCTCCTCGAAAGGATGGACGAAGCGAATAGCCTCCTC